GAGCAAAGGCCCCCTCCGAGTCAGCAGGACGGTTCAACGGCTCAGAAGAAGAAGTCAAAGTCCTGCTAACAGCAGGACTGTCTTCACAGGGACTTCAAAAACAGAGAGACAATGTTCAGCTGCAGTTGAAAAGACATTTAAATGTTTGTGTTTCGGAAAACGGCCCCAAGAGGCGTCACGTTTCAAATGCTCAGTCTCCTCTGTTAATGTCCCGAAAAATAAACAAAAAACATGTAGCCCCCTCCCTGGGTGCAAATTGTGTTTTAAAATGCAAAACTTTAATAAACAGTTCTGCAAATGTTTTCAATGTGTCATTAAAGAATTATCTTTGTGCACAAACGAACACAATAAGCTGCGGGCGACAGTCAATGTTGTCCCTTTTCTATCCAGTGGAGGGCAGCAGCGACACGTCTCCAAAAGTAAGGGGATGTCAGTCACTTAGCAATGCGACTCCCTCTCTGGCACACCCTCTCCATGGGTACAAAGAACTGTTGCTATGGGTTACAGGTTGCAGTTCCGCGTCAGGCCGCCTCGCTTTCGGGCCATTGTAAACACAGTGGTGACAAACGAGGCAGCCGCCATTTTAAGAGAGGAAATTTGCCCGTTGCTAACAAAGAGAGCTATTCGAGTGGTTCCAGCTGCAGAAACACGAAAAAGGTCTGTACAGCCGTTATTTTCTTGTTCCTAAGAAAGGGGGCGGCCTGCGGCCTATTTTGGATCTGAGAGTGTTAAACCGGTACCTTCAAACATACAGGTTCAAAATGTTAACGCTCAAACAGCTAATTCACTCGATCAGCCCAGGCGATTGGTTTGCGACCATCGATTTAACAGACGCCTATTTTCACATAGCGATTGGCCCGGAGCACAGAAAATATCTCAGGTTCACCTTCGAGGGTGTAGCCTACGAGTATCTGGTGCTACCGTTCGGTTTATCGCTAGATCCTCGCACGTTTTCAAGGTGCGTAGAAGCTGTGTTGACTCCTCTCAGGGAAAGGTCTGTTAGCATATTTAGATGACTGGGCTCTGATCGCAAGCTCCAAAGAGCAAACATTAGATCAGCTGTCTCAGGTTCTGTCACACATTCAGGCTTTA